ATAATGGAGTTCGCGGTAAGCTTCTCTATCTACCATTCAGTCGGGGTTTAAGCTAGGTCTCCACAACTGTAATATATGCTATGGGGAGCATAAATGACTTCCGCATTCTCCAGGCATTACTTTTATCCATCTTTCTCATTGTCTTGATATCATGTTCAGAAGTAGTCACACCGATGAGGTCATCGTTTGGCTCCTAATTTCCTTACAACTGGCAAATCTACGGGATAACTCGTAACCTAGGCCTCCGCGTGATAAGTTTGTGCCCCTAAGGGGCGATCGATGAGGTGAGGGCTTTATTTCTCTCACTGCCGAGTCGCACTAAGCGACATAGGCACAAAATGCGGCATAAAGAGGTCACACTAAAATGTCCAATTGTTACTATTCGTCTACATTTTAGGCGCAAAAGCCTTGCATCCACTTCTAGTAATTTTTTTTCAAGATTTATTGATATAATGAACTCAATTTGGGGGCAGGCTAGCTCTTTTGAGTTTGGGTAGACCTTAGACAAGAACCCATGGCAAGTATTGTGTGTGACCTAACTAGATTATAAAATACTGCTTTACCACTTGTCCAATATAATAAACAGTGTGGCCGTGATCACAGGATAATCTCCTTTTGGAAGTGCTTCAGTTCGAAATTTGTCAAATCACTCCAACTTGGGGGGGAGAAAAAGACATGATTGTGTCAGCTAATGCCTGCTACCTTTACCCCTTATTTCAGCTTTGGGGCTTCATACATCGCTCCTTTCTCTCTTTTGGAGCCGTACTCCTTGGTGCTTGGTCGTATCTGGATTCTACTTTCGTTATATTAAAAAACGTAATTTCAGGAATTCATTTCTTTATTGCCATAATTCTTTATAATTTATGAGTCTGTTTCACCCAACTACAGAGGTTAAAATTACAGCTAATGTGGTGCTGCACATGCTGTTTGTTGGCAGTTTTTCCCTCACTACCTCTGGTCGGGTCTTTCACCTCTCCTACTCTGGTGTAAGTCTGATACTCATCCTCCAAACTTGATGCTCTTGGAGATGCCCAGTTTGTTTCCACTTTCAACTACCCCATCATTTATCGAATTGATTTTGTAGTCTTTTATCAAATATTTGCGTATCAACTGGAGCTTTCATCCTTCTTTGGGCCTGCCGAAGGTTAGAGCATGGGCTTCCTTGGTATAAAGAATCAAATTACCTTCTAGTAAGCGCTTCTCAGACTACTTATTTTTAGTTCAGCTACCTTAATGGAATCGATTTATTGAATTTAATCTATGTCCGCTAACTGCAGATAGTAGGCTCGCTTGTTAGTGGATCGTTAGTCTTCTTTGTCCG